CAACTACTACTACTACAACTACTACTACTACTACTACTACTACTACTACTACTACTACTACTACTAATACTACTGATACTACTACTACTACTACTACTACTACTACTACTACTACTACTACTACTACTACTACTACTACTACTACTACTACTACTACTACTACTACTACTTCTACTACTACTACTACTACTACTACTACTACTACCACTACTACTACGACTACGATTATCACTACTACTACTACTACTACTACTACTACTACTACTACTACTACTACTACTACTACTACTACTACCACTACTTCCTACTACTACTACGACTACTACTACTACTACTACTACTACTACTACTACTACTACTACTACTACTACTACTACTACTACTACTACTACTATGAATACACCCACTACTCATAATTTCTACATCTACTACTAAATTCCTATCCTTCTGAATAACTCCCCATGTCGCACCCCCAGGCGTGGCCGCAGGCCTGTCCGGGCGCTTCGCTCAAGACTTCCTTACAAAGTACTACATGGGAACGAAAAACTTCAGCAGCTCTACGGATGGAGAGCCAGTCGTTTTTCAAGGGCGCTCTCGCCCTAGCGCCGCGCAAATTAGTCTTGAAACTTCCCAACAGATTCAAGGATGGAGGGCTGGTGGTGTTCAAAATGCTGATTCCGCCCCACCGTCGCGCGCATTTGTTTCGAGAGTTTGCGACAGCTTCAAAGACTGAGGCCGGTTCGGTCTAAAGTGTGCCTCTTGCCCGAGGGCTGCGCACATATGTCCTAGAAGCTTACATCAGCGAGTTACAATGATGGAAGGCGCCTCCTTTTCAAAATGGGGTTCTCGCTTTTGACTTCCTCAATTAGAACAACCAGACGCGAAACGGACCACCGACGTGCCGCGAGGATCCGCACCTCTGCGGGACCAGGCTGGCTGGAGGAGGCAGGAGCAACGGTGGCCCTCTGGGCGCCGTCGTCGGCGGAGGCGTCGGCGCCGCTGCAGCACCACTAGGCCCGCTCACCCTCGGGCCCACAAGCTGGTACTCCACCTACCGTGCCACCACAGCGGATCACCTTTTGTCGCAGACTCGGCGATCGCGCGGGTCGATCAGGCTAGGGCGGGCCACGCGAGGGCAGATCGGCACCGAGGCGGGGGAGGGGAGGAGAGCGGCCGCGGAGGGAAAGGGAGGCGGAGGGCGCACTCAGATCAGGACGAAACGGACGGGCTGCAGGCGCTGCCGCCCAGGCTCTGGGCGGAGGCGCGAGAGGGGGCAGCCAGGGCCGTGGGGACAGTGACGAACCCTGCCAGGTGTGCAAAGAGCGAGAGCACGAAGTCCGAGCGTGGCTCGAGGAAGTCCGTGGGGAATAGGTCGGGAACCTCATGATCGCACGCCCAGGGCGACGGCAAAGTGCCGCGCGCGTGCCGATGGCACGGAGCAGGGCGCCGCCGATCTCATGTCACAAAGTCCGTCTGGCCAGGGGGCCGTCGACACGAGGCACGGAGGACCCTTCTGGACACGGCGTGCCTCGGCTGCAAAAACAGTTCACAGCGTGGACCCCTGGAGATCTAGAGTCTAGACCTCCAGGGGTCTAGACGTCCAAAGCCTAGAGTCTACTCTAGACTCTAGGCCATTCCCCTGGACCGGCTTGTCACCTGTTTTTTTGACGGCCCCGGCCTGGTGAGGGCCCCCAAAGGCCAAAAACTGACGAAGACCTCCCGGCGTACCTTTTTATTGAAACGCGAGGGGGCCTGGGGATCTAGAACCTCAAGTGGTCCTTGTTTGCCGCGTCTTGGCTGCACAGCGGCTCCCGGCTGAGGCCCGGGGGGGCCACGCGCACCAGGACGTGGGCCAGGATGGGCCTGCGGCTGCCCGGTGGTGATGCGCTCCGCCTTCCCCGGGACCCGCGACGCCGTGCCTTCTTCACGGCATGGGCCCCCAGAGGTCCTCCCCGGGGACGGGCCTCCTCACTCTTCAGCCTGGGCCTTGGCCTGTTGACGATCCCAGGGCCCGTCGAGGGCCCCCGGATGCCGAGAAGAGGCAGAAGCCCTCCGTCACACCTTCTGCACGAGGCTGCTGGGTCTGCCGAGGCGGGAGGAGCAGCCGGCGGGCCTCTCGCGTCTGGAGGCGTGGTAGCGGCTGCTCAGTTGGCGCCGCCGCGGCCGTCGGCCTCCGACTCGGAGTCGCTGTCGTACCGGAGCAGCTTCGGGTAGTGCAGCACCTGCCGCGGGGAGCAGCAGGCGAAGAAGCAAAGCAGGAGCAGCGATCTGGACACCAGAAGGGCACACACGACCCCGCCCCAGCCAGTCCTTCAAACAGAACCCCCTCGAAAAAAACACCACCACCACCACCCTCGCGCAAAGAGGTGGGCAGAGGTTTAAACACCCCCCTGGCGCCGGCAAACGAGGACGGACGACGAACGACAACCAACACGACGACGAACGACGTTGCCGACGTACGTCCGGGATGTTTTGGGGGAGAGGGCCGGCTCAAAACCTCCCCCCTTAAAGCGGCCACATCACACGCTCTTTCTCGGCACGTCTAGGATTTTCAAACATGCTTGCCGAAGGATTGCAAAAATTCTCATCTGAAAGCTTCTGAGATGCCCACGGGAGCACCTCTCTTATGACGTCAACGTCAATGACTCGCAAGGGGGATGCCTCGTCAGCAGCATACAGAAGAGCAGTGGCAGCAGCAGCCGCAGAAGCAGCAGAGAGTTCCCCCGACAAGGGGAGCCGCTCGCGGAGCGAGCGGGGAAGCACCTTCATGCAAATCTGATCGGCGGCCTCGCTGAGCTTGAGCAGCTCCACAGCGCGCCCCCTGCCACCGCAGGCAAGAAGCAAGAAGGGCCTACACCCCTCACGAGCACGGGCGCGTTCATCTACATTGAAGGGGCCCCAGGGCACACAAATAAATACACACAAATAAAAAGATTCCCCATAATTTTCCATATTTTCTGGGCTTTTGTCTTCCCCCCCACTTCCCATATTTTCCAATATTTTTGGGGAATCGACGATTAATTGTGTCTGTGTGTTTTTTCCCTCCTGAATACATATGACCCCGTACTGGAAGCCTCTTGCTCGCAGCCCTACCTGCTGGCCGCCAGTCTTCGAACTTCGTCCGAATGTCCCAACCCAATGACGGTTCACGCGCAGCTGTCTCGATCGCACCGACCCTAGTGGAGAGCCAAAAACACATAACCATGAACTTGCGACCTGCGCGCCCAACAATATACAGCACCCAGACTCAGACAAGCACCTGATGCCTGGAATACGTTACAACATTGGACGCTGTCTCGCATGGCCGCAACCTTAGCAAATATCTTATACATGTTCTCCACGTGTCCCTGAATCTGGCCGCTTGCGTCCAATTTTCACGATTCTGCACCCGAATCACATCGCTCGAACTGGTACTCCCACACACTCCATGCGCTAAGCCGGCGAAACATCTAGTTCAGTCACTCCGGCTGGGAACGCACGGCACGCCGATTTACTCTACAATTATCCCCGTGGTAAAACGGCATCGCGAGAGGTGAAGGCAATCGCGGGAACTGCGCCCGTGACTGCGGCTTTTATTGTCCCGCCCCTGCCCTCCTATGTCCGTTCACCTCCACGATACGGTCGAAGGCTTGGACCTTGCAGCGCATTGGACTCTGTAACGAGGCGGAGAGAGAGGGGCGGGGCAAACAATAGATTGTGGCGAAAGAGGGCGAGAGGACACGAACGAGAGAAAGAGAGTGATTCATATACATATATACACATAATATACAGAGGATGACTTTGTTCAGCGCCATTCTGGAGAAGGGGGGGGAAGCAGAGGGGAAAGATGGCGACGAACACTCGAAGAGCACTCGAAAGTGAAGCTCCGCCCCAGAGTCAATCAAATCCACTCAGGCTCGAAGGAGGCGAAAGAAAAAGACAATCCGTACATCTGGGCCCAAGCCCCGTGCACGACCACGCAGACTCAAAGCAGGACAAAGTGTCCATGCCAGACGGCCCCGTGCCGAAGTGTTGAAGCAAAGTCGTCGAGGATGGCCTCGCGCAACACAACACGGCTCTGGGTGTGGCGGTCGGGCGGCCACCGTGCCAACGTGAACAGCAAGAAGACCCAAAACCGCAGGAGGAAGGGGGAACAGGCAGGGAGGCAGGCCGAGGGCCAGGACAGAGGACAGCAAGCTGCTCAGGGGAGCCCAGCCTGACATCATCGGACCCGTCGCACAAATAGTCGGACGGCAGGTCTCCGCGTCCACCCCGTGACCAGCTCGAGAGGACGACGGCTATGCCATATTTGCCTGGCACGCGCACAGGCGGGTCAAAAGACAGCACTCGAGAGACCGAAATTGTTGGGTGCGCGCACTCGCCAACTGACAATGTAGTAGGCGACGGCGGGCACGGCCGTGCCCGGGGAGACGCGACGCTGCTCCGCAGCGGCTGACTGGAGCAAGCCCTGGCTGAAAGTGCAGCCCGGGGTCGGCCAGCAGCGGCCGCAAGCACATCCGCGCTATGCCCATGCAACCGGCAGCATCGAAGCCGCCAGTTCCGGGCAGGAGGGAGGAGAAGGAAGGCGGAGGGGAGAACGGAGAGAAGGATAATCGCTCGGCAAACACTGTGTCGTGCGAGCGTGGCCGAAACAAACCCGGAATAAATCGACAGGATGCCATCCCCCAAAAGGGGCGGCAAGCCGGCGTCCACCCTTGGGAGGCGTCCGAGTCCAAGGCAGACCCCCTCCACGGTCCATCGGCCGCTCGGCTGGGACAGCTTCAGGCCGGCTGGCCTGGACTGACAAAGTGGCACCACACGTCCCGAGGGGAGGGAGGAAGAGGAGGAGGGAAGGGAAGGAGAAAGAAGAAGCGAGTACATACCTCGACGTGCACGCCATTCTGTATTGGAGCCAATCTTACCTCGGCCAGCTTGTTACCCAGAGCGTGCGACGGCCGTGTAGCCACCAGAGAGAAAGAGGGGGAGAGAGAGAGAGAGAGAGACAGAGAGGGGGGAAGAGAGAGAGAGAGAGAGAGAGAAAACAAAAACAAAAAAAAAGAGGGAGAGAGAGAGAGCTCGATACGCTCCTGGTCCTTCCTCCTCCTTCCTCCATCCTTCCTCTCCTCCCTCTCCTCCTCTTCCTCCCTCGTCCTCCCACAAGTGTTCACCCTCCTCCTCCCTTTTCCTCCCACAGGTGTTCTCCCAAAGGTTTCTTCGCCAGTTGGGGGAACACATAGCCCAATAGCTTGGCAACACTTCGACCCAACGGTTGGCCACCGATGTAGGCGCTTCCAAAAGGCAGGGGGCTGCGGTGGTTCGCCACAGGCGCCTTCGACAATGGCTCAAAATAGAAAGGAAATGACGAGAAAGAACGAGAGAAAGAGAGAGAACAAACAAAGGCGGGAGAGGAAGAGAAAGAGAGGGGGCGAGAATGAGAGATAGAAAGACAGAGACAGAGGCAGAGACAGAGACGGAGACACAGAGAGAGAGAGAGAAACAAAAGAGAGAGAGAGAGGGAGGGCCAGAGAAAGAGATATCTATATACATATATATATATATATGTATACATGTATAGACAGAGAGAGAAATAACAAAAAGAGAGAGAGAGAGAGAAAGAACAAAAAATGAGAGAGAGGGGGGGCATCTAGGCTGGAGCGCCTCCTCTTTGAGCCTGGCCAGTAGGCACCCAGGCAATGGGCAACCAACCCCTAAGTGACGCCGCGATGCGGGCCGCGAGCGGCACCTCGGCGACGCGCAGACGTGCAACAGCGGTGCGAGCACGTGACTCCACCCTGGGCAGGTGGCCGGAGAGGAGCCGCAGAGGCAGATGGATAGCAACGTGGAGGCCCTGGGCAGTGAGAGCCGATGAGAGACGATCGCGGAGCGGTGAGGGCTTGGCCAAGATGGAACGGGTGGGAAGCGCACGGCCCAGAGAGCGGGAGGGGTGGCGACCTGGAACTCCACGTTCTCGAAGTTCCAGTCCAGCACGGGCCCTGGAGCACCACACTCCCCACCCTCCCCGCCCTCCCCCTCCTCCTCTCCTCCTCCTCCTCCTCCTCCTCCTCCTCCTCCTCCTCCCTCCTCCCTCCTCCTCCCTCCTCCTCTCCTCCTCCTCCTCCTCCTCCTCCTCCTCCTCCTCCTCCTCATCGCTCTTCAGTCCGCTTCGTGCCCCTGCCGCCCGCCGCGAGGGGCTCCGAGGGGTACACAAGCCCGCGCGCTACCTGGGAGAGAACGATGTCCGCCGCAGTGTCGTGCCGTGGCCAGTGTGCGCGCCTGTGCAAAGCGCATCCCCCCTCAGGAGGAGGGGGGTGAAGAGGAGGTGGAGGAGGAGGAGGAGGAGGAGCAGGAGGATCAGGAGGAGGAGGAGGAGGAGGAGGAGCAGGAGGAGCAGGAGGAGCAGGAGGAGGAGGAGGAGACGGAGGATGAGGAACAGGAGCATGCTGGGCGTCGCGCAGTGGCGGGGCGATAGATGGGGGGGGCGGCGAGGGCTGCAGAAAAGGGGCGGCGTGTGCAAAGCCCATTCTCCCCTCGGCACCTCCCTTGCAGCCGCCGTGGTACCACAGGGAACACGGGGTAGGGCATGGAGGGCCTCCCTGGCCACGGCGAGCCTCGGCCACGAGCGGGCTCCCCGACCTGGACCTGGGGGAGCGGGAACGGCACGAAGCCTGGAGGCCCTTCCATCGGGGATGGACAGGACCCCCTTTGGTAAAACGTGGTCTGGCGAAAACGACCTCGGGCCCAAGCCTGGCGGGCGCAAGCCTGAAGAACGACGGCCGCGGCGCCCTCTCGAGAAGCGAAAGCGGACGCTTCACGAATCGACGTGTCAGGGTGGGGATTCTGTCCGCCCCCGATTCTAGGCAACCCTGCGTGAAACCGACCCCTGCAGGTCGGATTTCTGAAACACCGTCTTGGGGCTCAGAACCCAAAGGATTTGTGCAACAGTGAGCGCCAGCGGGAGCGTCCGATGCCCGATACCCCAGCGTCGGGTGGACCCGCAGGGGTAGGATTCGCAACTGGTCGCGGACCTCCTGGACCCAGAGTGGTCCTTATTGCAGCGTCCTGACTGCACTTCTGCTACCTCGAGGGTGGAAGAGGAGGAGGAGGAGGAGGAGGAGGAAGAGGAAGAGGAGGAGAAGGAGGAGGAGCAGGAGGAGGAGGAGGAGATGTGGAGACCTGACCCGTGCCGCCAAAGTTCAAAGGCGTACATTTACGATCTGCTCCACTCCAGGGGGAGCTCCACCTTTTCCAACTGGGTTCACTGCGTCCACGAGCACGCCACCCGCGTGCTTCGCATGCGTGCTCACAGCAAATCGGCCGCGGACGACCTGAAACAGTTCGGCGACTATACGTCGGGCTCCGGTTTAAAAAGTCGGCCTGGCACAGCAAACTCTGTGCCTGGCCTCTTGGCAGCCTGTGCGGCGCGGCGGCGTCGGGCCTCCGCTTCCCCCGTGGCGCCGCGCCACAAACTCTGCGCCTGACCCGAATTTCAGCGGCGAGCCCGGGCGGAACCGAGAAGGGGCGGGCCTTCTCGGAAGGCTCGGAGGCTCCCTGGCCGACTGGGAAGTGTTCCAAGCCTTTTCCCCGAAGACCCCGGATCAGAAGGCGCGAAGGCTTCTGAGAAGGCCCGCCGCCTTCTGAGAAGGCACCCCCCCGCTCGCCGCCGGGAATTAGCAGCAGCGCCCCACTCGTGCGCCAACTCGTGCGCCCCTGAACTGACGGGCCTGTTTTCCACCACCACCACCAGAAGTTGGAGGGGGGAAGGTGGAGGATGAGGAGGAGGAGGAGGAGGAGGAGGAGGAGGAGGAGGAGGAGGACCACATTCCCCCTCCTGCTTATTATGGTGGTGGCGGTGGGAAGCAGGCCCACCATGGGCCAGGGGAGGTGCGATGAGAGCTCGAGGGGGCGGTGGAGAGAACGGACGGGTCGAGACTGGAGCGAGGGGCGGGTGGGCCCCGGCGGGGTGGCTCGTGGGGGACACTTCCTTCCCTCTTCCTCGCCCGTCTGGTCCTCCTCCTCCTCCTCCTCCTCCTCCTCCTCCTCCTCCTCTTATGAGATTCGAGGCCGGCTAGACAGGAGATCCTCGATTCTGTCAAACAAGTAAAGAACAAGTACTAGTACACGTATGGCACGATAGCACGAGTGTAAAAAAAGTACGGATCGAAAAAACGAGCCAGGCGAGGTCAGCGAAACGCAACTGTGAAACATGTGCAACGCGGAAGTACTGGTACGAAAAAATGCCAACTGTGTGAAACGAGTGCGAAAGCACATCCAAAGCGTGAAAACAAGTGTAAACCAAGTGCGAAACAAGTATGCAAAACAACAGAAAAAGTGTAAAGAAAAGTATGGCAATCAATATCTCTCACACAAACACACACTTTCCTCACACTTCGGATTTCTGAACTTCGGTACTTCGTATTACTGCACGGCACATTTCTCGTACTCGTACTTTGGCATGGTATTTTCTCTATTGCAAGTGGTCTACTTTGCGTTCCTCTGGGAGGGGGTCCGGTGTAGCTGGCCGGAATCTGTCAATCCTCCTCCTCCTCCTCCTCCTCCTCCTCCTCCTCCTCCTCCTCCTCCTCCTCCTCCTCCTGCGGCAAGGGGAGGAAAGAAAGACAAGCGGGAGCACGTCGGCTGGGGGACGAGCTCCCAGTGGGCCGGCTGACCCGTGCGGCGCCCCGGCGGGGTGGCCCGCGGCTCGTCCACCGAGCGGCGAGCGGGCGCGCGGGGCGCGCGCCCGCGGGCGACGGCCGTCCAATCGGCCGCCGCCCCGGACTGGCACGGGGAGCGCCTCACCCGGCAGGGGGGGGAGGGGGGATCGAGAGGGGCGCGGCGCGTGCCGCCACTCGCAGGGCAGAAGTACGGCACCCATACGGCACCCGAGACGGGGCCTGCCTCGGGCGCCCGCACGGGTCTCCGGAGGCGCGCCGTCTGTGGCGGACCGCGTCGCGAGCCGCACGTTCGGGTATGGGTCTCGGGCTTCTGCCTGCTGCCTGACCATGCATCTATGTACAATGCCCTTGATACAGGGCACGCCAAGCGCTTGGCGATGCTAGAAGATACGGAAACAATAAATTCGCTGGCCCATCGGGCCAAGGGCGTGCTAAAATCTCCTGTAACAGCTGTAGAATACTTCTAGTTCGCGCGCGCGGCTGCCCCTGAGGGCCCCCAGACGACAAATACCCCATGCAAATCCTGGGCGGTCCTTGGGCAAGTCCCGGGCGGTCCCTGGGCGGTCCCCGTCAAGGATATCAGAACTCCTGGGGGCTGCCTTCAGGGCCTTCAAGAGCGTCTCAAGAGGCCCCGAAAGCGGTCTAAGAGGACCCAGAGTCACCGGAAGTCGTTCCAAGATGCCCAAGATAGCCTCCAGACGGCTTCAACCGTCTCCAAGACGCCCGAAGATGCCTCCAAGACCACCCCCAAGAAGCCCCCCAGAGGCAAGAATCAACGATTTTCCATGTGGTTTTTGGAAGTTTTCAGCGTTCTCACCTTTTCGGCCGCCGACGCTCTGAGACGGCCCAAATAGCCCCTAAGATCGCTTCAAGAGGGCCCATTCAGCCTTCAAGAGAGCCCCAAAACGGCCCACGAGGACTCTAAGACGGCCCAAGTTGCTCACAAGACCGCGCTGGAGCCCCAAGACACCTTCAGGAAGACCCCTCGAGGGGGAGCCCCAACGGACATTTCGAGCGTTCGGCCTCAAAATCGCCCCCAGAGCACCCCCCCAGGCCTCCGAAGAGCTTTCAATAGGCCCTCGGCCTCCAAATCGCTCCCAGAGCCTCCCCCCCAGGCCTCCGAGGAGCTCCCAGTAGGCCCCACGAGGCTCCCAAGACGCGCCCAGGAGGCCACAAGAGGCCTCCAAAGAAGCTCCTCAGAAGCTCCATTAGCCCTTCGAGCCCTTGGCCCCAGAAGGCGTCCAGGCTGCCTCAAGCGGCCCCCAAGAGCCACCCAATGGGGCCCAAGGGGCCCCCAAGAGGCGCCAAGAGAGCACCAAGAGGCATCCAAGGCGCCCCCAGGAGGCCCCCAAGAGCCATTAACACTGATACACAGGAGCCCCCCGAGAACTATCCGACGCGACACCACGAAGCGTCCATGAGGACTCCCATCCACAACCGCAGCAGCGCCGACCAGCAGCGAAGCATGGCCCACGAGCGCGCACGCACGCCAACGATGGCACAATACGGGACGGAATGAGCGAAGCGATTGACTAAGTTGATTCCTCCTTGCACGAGAAACCGGGGACGGAAGATCGAGCAAGTGGAAAAGAACATGCACCAGTGCAAAACAAGTCAATCGACTGCTCGAGACGCGCAAGAAAGACGGGCGACGGCCCCTGTCGGAGTCGCGGCGAGGGCTGGGCAGAACTTCGGGACTTTAGCGCGGCGACCGCAGCCAAAGTTGGTGCTCAGACCGCCACGGTGCTCCCGCTGCTCTGCACGACGGTCGCTTTCCCGGTGGCCCCATCGAGGTCCAGCACGACAGCCTGGCGCACCGCAGGCGCATCCTGGCTGTCGTCCTCGGCCTCCGAGTCTCGCGCCGCATCCTCTTCCTCGTCCTCCTCCGCTCCAGCAGCCTCCAGCAGATACTCAGCCAGCGTATCCTCCATCATGTTTGAGATCGCCCGCCTCAACGGGCGAGCGCCCATGGCTGGGTCGTAGCCCAGCTCGACCACCCTGTCCTTGAACGCCTGGGTGAGCGTGACGTCGAGGTCCCTCTCGCCAAGGCGCGCGAGCACGTTTTGAAATTCGACCTCGGCGATCGCGCGCACGTCGTCCTTCGTAAGAGACCTGAACACCACCACCTCGTCCAGGCGATTGATAAACTCGGGCCGGAAAAACGATTTCATGTCATCCATCACGAGCTCCTTCATGGCCGCGTAGCTCTCTTCTTCCTCGTCATCTGCGGCGCCGAAGCCGAGTCCGAAGGAGCCTCCAGCTCCCTTCTGCACTGACCTGCTGCCCAGATTGGACGTCATGACAACCAGCGTGTTGGCGAAGGACACCGTGCGGCCCTGCGAATCCGTGAGGCGCCCGTCGTCCAGCAGCTGCAGCATGATGTTGAACACGTCGGGGTGAGCCTTCTCGACCTCGTCGAAGAGCACCAGCGAGTACGGCTGCCTCCTCACCGCCTCCGTCATCGTGCCGCCGTCGCTGTAGCCCACGTAGCCTGGCGGAGCCCCAATGAGCTTCGAGACCGTGTGCTTCTCCATAAACTCGCTCATGTCCAGGCGAATCATGGAGTCCACGGAGCCGAAGAACGTGGACGCCAGCGTTTTGCACACGTGGGTCTTGCCGACGCCCGTGGGCCCGCAGAACATGAAGCTGGCGATGGGCTTGTCCGGATTCCGCAGCCCCGCGCGTGCGCGGCGCAGCGCCCTGGAGACCGCGCTGACTGCCTCGCCCTGGCCCACGATGGTCTTGTGGAGCCTCTCGGCTGCACGCGAGAGCGGCCCTGGGCAAGAGTGACCGCTGGTGCGTAGCTTGCCGATCGCTGCATGCGATGCGACCAAAGCGCGGCCTGCTCGCTGGGGTTTGCCACCTACTACGCTCCCTGAGACCTTTCAGCTCAGCGATCTGGATCTGGCCCCCGAGCGTCTCCATGGCGACTGGGGAGGCGAGGATTACTGAACTGATGGATTTCGGTAATCAGTTCAGTAATCCTCGCCTCCCCAGTCGCCATGGAGACGCTCAAGGGCCAGATCGCTGAACTGAAGTATCTCAGGGTGCGTGCCCACCCCCTCCCCGCTGCCCCCCAAGAAGCCGCGCACCAGAGGTCACTCCGGCAGAGGGTCACCCTCTCGTGTAGCCGAGCCTCCGCTCCAGGCCCATCAGCCTCCGGGACTCGCTCGCCCCAACGGTCTCCACGGCGATGCCCGTCCAGGTGGACACCACCTCGGCCATGTCCTCGGGCGTGACGAGGCGGTCTGCCGCCTCGAGGGCGCTCGTGCTGTCGAGGCCCTCGATCTTCGAGAGGCGCTTCATGAGGTTGTTCTCCCGGATCTTGAGCTCGTGCGCCTCGCCGAAGCACTCTGCGTCCACCAGCTGCCGCATCTGCGCCTTGATGCCGCGGAGCTCGTCCAGGAGCTCCTGCGCGCCTGGCGCGTGGCCGCCGCTCTGGGCGTGCTTCAGGTAGCTCAGGCGCTCGCTCAGCTCCACCTCCCGTACCTTCAGCTGCTGCGCCTCGTCGTAGCGCTCCGAGGCGATCGCCGCCTTCTTCTGCGACTGCACCGACTCGATCTCCTGCCTGGCCGCCCAGAGCTCCGCGGCCGTCTGGCCGTCCGCCGCCTCTTGGTACAGCTGCTGGCGAACCTTCGACCCCGCCTCGTCCATCACGTCGATGGCCTTGTCTGGCAGAAAGCGGTCGGAGATGTACTGCGAGGCCAGCTTCACTGCCGCGGCCAGCGCCTCTGGCGTGTAGCGCAGCTGGTGGTGGCGCTCATACTTCGAGGCCAGCCCCTCGAGGATCAGCACGGCCTCCTCCTGGGTGGGCTCTGGCACGTTCACGGGCTGGAAGCGGCGCTCCAGGGCCGGGTCCTTCTCGATGTACTTCCGGTACTCGTCTAGGGTGGTGGCCCCGATGCACTGGAGCTCGCCGCGCGCCAAGGCCGGCTTGAGCAGGTTGGCGGCGTCGATGCCGCCGCCCTCGGCCCCGCTGCCCCCGGCACCGACCAGCGTGTGCACCTCGTCGATCACGAGGATGACGCGGCGGTTGCTCTCGGAGACCTCCTTGATGACCGCGCGCAGCCGCTCCTCGAAGTCCCCGCGGTAGCGCGTGCCCGCTAGCAGCAGGGCCAGGTCGAGCTGCACGACGCGCTTGTCTTTGAGCGTCGAGGGCACGCGCCCAGACACGATGCTCTGCGCCAGGCCCTCGGCGATGGACGTCTTCCCCACGCCCGGCTCCCCGACGAGCACCGGGTTATTCTTCGAGCGGCGCCCCAGGATGCGGACGGTGCGCTTGAGCTCCTCCTCGCGGCCGATGAGCGGGTCCATCTTGCCCTCGCGGGCCATCTGGGTGAGGTCCTTGCTGTACTTCAGCGTCTGCGTCAGGTCCACGTCGTCCGCGGGCGGGGACGCCCTGGCGGCGCCCGCGCTGCCTGCGGTCGGCGCGGAGCTGCGCGCGCTGCTCTTCTGAGCCTGCTCCTCGCGCTCCAGCGCGGCCGCCACCTTCTCGCGCGCGGCCTCCGCGTCGTCGCATCCCAGCAGCAGGCCGAGCAGCTTCGTCCCGTTGCCCTCCTGCTGGCCGAGGACGGCCCGCAGCAGGTGCGCGGTGCCCACAGACGAGCTCCCCTGCGCGCGGGCGCACTCGATCGACTCCTCGAGCACCTTCTTGGCGCCGCTGGTGAAGGGGATCTCCAGCTTGGCGCCGCCGCTGGTGCTGCTGTCGACCACCAACTCCAGCTTCAGGCGGGCGTCCGCGAAGGACACGCCAAGGTGCTCCAGCGCGCGGAAGCCCACGTCGGAGCCCTCCGCTACCACGCCCACCACCAGCATCTCGGTGCCGACGTGGTCCTGGCCCAGCCGGCGCGACTCGGCCTGGGCCATCATCACGGCCTTGATCGTCTTCTCCGTGAAGCGCTCGAACATCATGGCGCGCCGCGCCACCGCTGGCTGCGCACCCCTCGGCCACACGCAAGAGTGGCGCGAATTAAGCAAGAGTGACCTTTGGTACGCGGCTTTAGGGGGCGCGGGGGCCAAACCCGAGCGCGCAATCCGCTGCTATCGGATCGCATTCAGCCATCTGGGTACCCCACTGTGCCCGTTGCAAAGGTCACTCTGGCGAAAGGTCACTCTTCGGGGAACTCCTGACCTGGGTTGATGCAAACCTGGGTCAGTCGGGCTTTGCAAGATCCTGCAAAATCCTGCAGGGTCCGTCGCGCTAGCCTGGAGCAACGCAACCCTGGCTTTGCAAGATCCTGCAAGATCTGGCGCTCTGGCTGGCCCCCGTTTGCGTTGACCCCCGTCTCAGGCCCAGACAACCGGCGCCTCGTTGTTTGCGAGACGTGGGCCACCGACCTCCCGACCACTTCCCTGGGACCACTTGCTCCTCCTGAAACGTCTTGACGGGCTCGAGGCCCGGTAATAAGGCCCCGAGGAGCCGGAAACTGCGCCAAAGCTCCGCCTCGATTGTCGCCAATCCGGTGGATCTCTGGAAGCTCTGACGTGTGGCCATAAAACAAGGCTAAGATCGGGATAAATCGCTCCAGAGCGTTACGCAGCGCTCTCAGAGCGTTCCGGAACGCTCTGGAGCGGCCGCGGCGCCCAATACATCCTCCAAGCCCGCCGATTCTCCGAGACTTCGAGCTATCCCGATCCGATGTTGTCCCGATCTTCGCGTCGTTTGAGTATACCCACCCCGCGGCACCCGCCGGGGCGCGCGAGCGGCGCTGGCCGGGAGCGGCCAAAGCCCGCGGGCCCGCCCCGCAGCGGAGCGGCCGCGGCCAGGCGGCAAACGCAGGCCGCGGCCGCGGCGGCGAGGAGGGCCCCCGCGCCGCCGAGGCCGGGGCCCGCCGGGGGCGCGGCCTCCGCGAGCCCGGGCGGCACGGCGCCCGCGCGGTCGAGGAAGGAGCGGCGCGCGCCCGCGGGCGGGGCGCCCCGGGGCGCCCCTGCGTGGCCGCGCGCACAGGGGTGAAGTCGGGCCTGTCCCCCTACAGGGGGATTGTCGACGAACAATCAAAAATACACCAAAGATATAGGGGGATAAAAAAAAATGCAAAAAAAATACTCCAACAAAAAGAAAAAAAGACTCCCAAAAAAAACTCCAAAAATAGTCCGGGGACTATTTTTTTAGTTTGTTTTACATTTTGGAGGTATTTTGGGGGTATTTTCTATTTCTCGTCGAAAACCCCCTGTGGGGGGGGGGACACGCCCGACTTAAGCACAGGTGGGTCTACGGCGGGCTCGTGCGGCGTCGGCGCGCGCAAAGGTTCGCGACGCCGCGTCGACCGTCGAGCCCCGAAGCGATCGCGCGGCCCCGATCGTTCCGGGCTTGATGCAGCCTGAACCAGTGGCATCACCGCTTCCATCGGTGCTTCCGCGTCGCAGAATGCAACCTTGAACGCCATCGCCAGCGTCGCCGGCGCGCCTTCCCCCCTCCCACATGTACCCCCCTCTGCGCGTGGCTGGCCCATAGGGAGAGAAGCAGCGGGCATCGGCACAAGCACGGCGAAGGCCTCCGGGTGCCACGCGCTGGGCGCACGGTTGCGGGAGCGCGGCCTGCACGGCCCCCGCGGGGGGCCCGAGCGCTGGAGAGACCCCCGGCCACACGTGCCTCCGCCTCTCGCCGAGGCTGGCCGCGCCACGCGTGTCCATCGGGGATGGACAGACCTCCCTTTAGTAAAACGTGGTTTAGTGAAAACGACCTGAGGCCCAAACCTGGCGGGCGTAAGCCTGGAAAATAACGGCCGCAGCGCCCTCTCGAGAACCGAAAACGGACAATTCACTAATCGACGTGTCACTGTTGGGGGGTCTGTCCGCCCCCGAGTCCAGACGACGTGCGAAGTGTCCGGAAGCTCTCGGAGGCCCGCGCGGACCTCGACAGCCTGCGTTTGTGCCGACGCTTTTCTCATCGAGCCCCGCCGCCGACGAAAGCGGCCCCGATGGCGGCGCAGAGCAGGGCCGCCGCCATGGCGAGGAGCAGCGGCAGGAGCTTCGCCGCCATCGTGTGGATAGCCTCGCGGACCGGGCCCTGGCAGGCCTTCTCGGATCGAACTGTCTCTGCACCCGCGGCTGGCAGTGAAAGCGAATTGGACAAAACAAATATCAAGCCAAAACGGCTATTGAGGAGGCGGCGGGGAGGAGAGAGGAGGAAGGAAAAGTGAGGGAGGCAAGCTGGGTGCGGTCACACCATATCCGACATGCATCTGACATCCTACCCCTCCCACCCATCCTTTCCCAATGCGCCGATTGTTGCTCTTCTGGCGGACGCGTGTCATCAAACCTCGAACTCCCAAAAAGATCCCGTGATATTACGCGCAATCGGAAAAGGAGAGCTGCGTCTATAGGAGGAGGAGGAGGAGGAGGAGGAGGAGGAGGAGGAGGAGGAGGAGGAGGGAGAGGAAGCGGCGATGAGCAGGGGGATGAGCAGGAGGAAGAGGAGGAGGAAGGAAGAGGAGGAGGAGGAAGAGGAGGAAGAGGACGAACAGCAGCAGCAGGAAAAGGAGTGGAAGGAACGGGAGAAGCAAGAGGACCAGGCGAAGGCGGAAGAGGAAAAAGGAGGGGGACGACAACGATGAGGAAGGACTCGGATCCAGAAAAGTGGCCCGTGCTGGGGCGAGGGCCATTCTTAACGACGAAAGAAAAGCGCCAACCTTAACATGAGGCCAACGCTGCAGACGCAGCACCATCTTGAGACACTGAACACGTGCCTCATGTAAAAAGGAAGAAGAATGACAAAGATAAAATTATGAAGTCCTACGCAGAGGGGACGTGCTACTCACTTGCCATCTTCGGAAGAGAGAGGAAATTAGTATTCATGTTAAGCCATTGAAGCGAAGCGCGAAGGGAGAGAGGAGAGGAGAGAGGAGAGGAGAGAGGCAAGCCAGGTGCGCCCACATCATATCTGACCTCCTGCCCCTCCCACCAGTCCCCCTTCTCATTTCTCATTGTGTTGAATTCTTTTCTATCCGCCGAGTGGGGTGTCCCAGAGGACCGTGGTCCTCAGATGCTAGTCGATGGACTTCACCAACCCTTGGCTGTAGAATCAACGAGGGGAATGACATGTACATTGATGAAGGAGCAGGAGGGGCAGGGGGGGAGGCAAAAGAGGGAAAAGGAAGCGAATGGCAACGACGAGGAAGCAATCGCGGGAGCCGGCCCCGAAGATCTGGCCCCGAGGATCCGCGCTGTGGCGAGAGCGCCATTCCGAACGACGAAAGCAAAGCAACGATCCAAGAAATGAGGTCAACGCTGCAGCAAGAACACCATGTTAGAAAACCTCCAACGGCCCACGAGAAGCTACGAAAACCTGGCGGCCTCCCCCTCCACCACACCATGGCTGCAGCGCAAGCAGACTGGACACTTTTTGCGTCGGCGGCTAGGCAGGGCAACTGCGCTGGCGGAGGGCTACCTAAACGGGGGTACCGTTGTAGCGAATTGCGCCACCATGCAGGAGGGGAGGAGAGGCAGAGAGAGCGGCCGACAAAGGGGGCGGGAGGGGAGCGAGACGCTCAGGGGGACGGGTCACGCCCCGAGCGTGGCAAGCAGACTGGACACAGGGACAGCGTGCGTCGGATCGAGCCGCCTCGGCTCGGAGTCGGATCGTCCGCGCGAAGGTGTGCACGACAGCGGCAGGGGAGCGCCGGGCCGCATCGGACCGCTAGAACATCGGGATCGGATCGGATCGGGCAGGCCGGCATCGACATCGAGCCAGATCGATCGGATCGAGATGGGCCCTGCCAGGGTGGCACCTGGAGGAGGGAGGAGGAGGAGGAGGAGGAGGAGGAGGAGGAGGAGGAGGAGGAGGAGGAGAGCAGTCGCTTGGAGCTTTTGGCCAGGTCTGGGCTGACCCAAGATCTGACTGAAGCAAGGGCGGCCCGTGCCGAGCGCCTGGAGGTCTCCGCCGCAAAGCGAGCGAAACGACCAGAGCTGAAGACTCGGACCTGTCAGAGCAGGTGTAAACCTCCATACGTCGGCTATGCTCTGTTAAGCCTCACGTGGCATTGGCATGCGTTGCTGCACCAGTGTAAGGAGGCGAAGCGAAGTGAGGTGAAGTGATGTGGAGTGAAATGAAAGAAAGAGACGTGACGTGACGTGAAATGAAGCGAGCGGTGCTGGTTCTGGGCACGTGGATGTGCCCGTGACCTTGTGGACAGGGCGCGTGAGGCCGTAGATGAAGCAGTACCCGACCCGGTCCAAATATAAGACGTGGGTGAAGCATCGCATGAACCAGTACAAATGGAGCGCAAAAATATATGCACGAACTGGTACAACCAGAAGGCGTGGGAGGAATGGCACACGGACCAAATATCGGCACAGAGTCGACGTGGCCGGGGTTATAACAGTTTATGTTGCTGGTGCCTGGCGGTGGTCGGAGTATTGCGCTGGTGGTGCTGATTGGTTGTTGTCGGTGTTGGTGGTCGGTGGGAATGGTCGGCGCTAGGGGGTAGGAACGGCAGGTGTTGGTGTTGCCAGCGTTGTACAGTCTGCTTAGTCAGCTGGCATACGCAGGGAAGGTGATCTCAAGCGAGTTCCACTACTTTGTGCCCGTTGCGACCGTAAGCCATCTCGCATCGTTGCTGTCGGGGTGGAACGATTGTATTGTGTGCGTGGTTTCATTGATGCCGTTTTGTTCGATGCTTTAGCCAAGCATTCCTATGTAAGCCCAGTAGGAAGAACTATCGCAAGTCGACGTCCCGCCGATTGCGCTGGTCGCCAATGCTGCCGATAACAATGTTGATCCGTGCCGATGAGGAGGATGCATCGTACCCTCACGAGGAAGAGGAGGTGAAGATTCAGTCGACGCGCTGCCATAAGGAACGCACATTAAGGAACGACACCCTTTTTTGGCGCCAGCAGCGCCTGGGTGCACCAAGAAAGTTGTTCCCAACCATCCTGTGGTGTTGGGTCCTCGTTTTGAAAGGACAGCGCCTCGCGTTCCTTCCTTTCTCCTTTCCTCCTCCTCCCCCTTCCTCCTCCGCCTCTGTGCCCCTGCCGTCTGCATGTCTCTGTTTCGGCACATCCCTTACACATTTCGTGGCCCCGTAGGGCGCTCCACCCAAGGCCCCAGTGGCAGGGTTCGTTCGCATGGCGGCCCCGCCCCATTTCGGCACACTCCTCACACGTATCGTGGCCCCATAGGGAGCCCCACCGAAGGCCCCAGTGGCAGGGTTCGCAGGGCGGCCCCGCCCAATTTCGGTACACCCCTCACGCGCTTTGTGGCCCCATAGGGAGCTCCACCGAAAGCCTCGGCACACCCCTCACGCGCTTTGTGGCCCCATAGGGCGCTCCACCGAAGGCCCCAGTGGCAGGGTTCGCATGGCGGCCCCGCCCCAGTTCGGCACACCCCTCACACGCTTCGTGGCCCCATGGGGAACTCCTCCGAAGGCCCCACTGGCAGGGTTCGCATGGCAGGGCCCCCCCCCCCTATTTCAGCACACCCCTCACACGCTTCGTGGCCCCACAGGGCGCTCCACCGAAGGCCCCAATGGCAGGGTTCGCATGGCGGCCCCGCCCAATTTCGGCACACTCCCCGCACGCTTCGGGGCCCCATAGGGAGTTCCTCCGAAGGCCCCACTGGCAGAGTTAGCATGGCGGCCCCGCTTCATTTCGCCTCCCCCCGCACGTTTCGTGGCTCCACATGGGGGTTCCACCGAAGGCCCCAATGGCAACGTTCGTATGGCGGCCCCGCCCAATTTCGGCATACACCCCGGCCCCATAGTGAACTCCACCGAAGGCCCCGGAGGCAAGCTTCGCATGGCGACCCCGGCTCCATTGCGGCACACCCCTCACGCGTTTCGTGGCCCCATTGGGGGACTCCACCGAAGGGCCCAGTGGCAGGGTGCGCATGGCAGTCCCGTTTCACTTCAGTCGGGGAGGCGTAAGACTCGGGTACGGGGGACGCGGGTTGGCCTGACGGGGTCTATCATAAAAACGACGAGACGCAATCTGAAATTTGACGCGAGCTCCCACTGCAAACATCGCACGAAAACTGGACCGTCAAAATCCAGGACGCGCTCGTCAAAAAACGTCGGCAAACCCGAGTTCTGGCTTAGCCGAGTCTTACGTTCCCCCGATTCAGCACACCCCATGCATGTTTCGTGGGCCCATAGGGAGCTCCACTGCAGACCTCAGCGGCAGGGTTCGCATGGCGGGGTCGCCTCCATTTCGGCACACCCCTCACACGCCTCGCGGCCCCATGTAGAGCTCCACCGGAGGCCCCACTGGCGGGGTTCGCATGCCTTCTCGGCTTAGTTTGACACACCCCTCAAATGTTTCGTGGCCCAGAGGGAGCTCAACCGAAGGCCCCAGTGGCAGCGCCCGCACGCGTCCCCCAGCGCACTTCGGCATACCCCGCACACGCCTCGGGGCCCCCATCCGAGTTGCCCCGCGCTTCATCCCTTTCCGCGGCGCGCTGCCTACGATGAGAAAGTAATTTGCTACGTTGCACGCAGCTGCATATGGTTGGGTCCTTCGCCAGGCTAATGTTCTTCCCCCCGCGTGGCCATGGGCGAACAGCCTCTGGCCTGCCAGCTGCGCCGCGCTCTGACCCCACGGCAGTGGGGGCCGAGAGCAAAAACAAACGGACGCCGGTCACTGCGCGCGACAGCGCAGCAGCAAGCAGGCACGCCGAGCGCGCCAAGAGCGGCGACGGCGCAGAGCGCAGAAAGGGCCGCTCTGAAAGGCGGCTGACTGGTGCATGCGATCCCTCTCCCAGGAGGGGGGATGAGAGGCCACGAGCTCCTTCGCCCACGTCTGTTATCAGCACGGTGCTGCCGTTCTTGGCGTAGGAGAGCACCAGGCCTGCCCAACCCCACCGCGTGCCAACGCGGGCCGCCCAGAGCGACCAGACAGACTCCAGGACGAGCAGCGAGAGGAAGCGATGAAAGAGGAGGTGGAGGAGGAGGAGGAGGAGGAGTAGGAGGAAGAGAAGGAGGATAGCGTAAACCCAAGATGCACCAACGATGTGCAATAAACCTTCCCTCAAAGTTCCCACATTTTCATTCTGGTAAGTGGCCCGTCAGAAGACCATCGTCTGAGACTGTTCGATCGTACCACAAGCACCGCTCATGCGACTTCAACGCCACGGATCCACACACCTATTGCGTCCTGACAAATCAAAATCGCGCCAGAACACCGATACTGGGACTTCAGCACCGCGGATTAGTCTGACTGGTGCGCCCCCACAATCTTAAATCGTGCCAAGACACAATTCCTAAGAATTCGACCATACAAATCCTTGACACTGCTGCAAGACGGTTAAGACAAATGTGCGCGGCGCAAAAGCGCGAGACGCATTTTGAGCACGGCCCGCCCTGCATCCGCGAAACTGTTGCAAATATTTAAAACGAATGCACGCGGCGCTAAGGCGAGAGCCACATGTTGAAAACGGCCCACCCTCCATCCGCGAAACTGCTGCAAACCTTTATGACGAATGCGCGCGGCGCTTTGGCGAGAGCCCCATTTTGATAACGGGCCGCCCTCCATCCTTGAAGCTGCTGCAAATCTCAAGCTTCGGGATCATAGATGGCGAAGAAGTCGCGGGCGAAACGCCTGGCCAGCCCTACCGACACGCTTCGGGGTGCGAAAGGGACGAAACTTCTATCTATCAGGAAAAAGGATGGATGGAGGAGGAAGAAGACGAGGGGATGCGACATGGCAGTGCACACATCCAGGATGCTGCGGAAGCCAGCGAACAAAGAATCTCCCGGGGCGCCCTTCTGAACCTCGTGAGTGCCTTCTACAGCACCATTCGCCAGCTTGCCCTCAGCTTGCCTGGCTCTGAAACTGAGCTCAGTGATGCTCTTGAGACGATCCCGATTCCGCCCGTCCTGCTGGAAGGGGTCAAGGCCCAATTGCCGACACGTCCCTTGTTTGACCACAATGTCGACAGTCTGCATCTAATAGCTGCCATTCCAGAAACCCCAAAAAGGGACTTTCTGACGCGTCGCTCATGCTCCCAATTTTGTGACTGCTCAACTTAGTTCTAGACCCGGAACAGTATGTGCGACTGGTGTCTTCAAGTTCGTCTTTCGAAGACCGCACATTAGAATAGAAGAGCTGACACAACAAGAGATGGTAAAAACAGCAGAAATAGTCGGGCCCTGGCTGGCAGAAGATCTGTCATTTGCCACCCCTGCTGACATGGTCAGTCATGATTTGGGATTCTCATTTGTTGACGACCTGACCCAATCTTTCATCATCAAACTGGCGATGCAAATGCTGGAAAAGGCTCGAGAAACCTTGAGGGCGGTTTTCATGTGTGCTGCGAGCTTGGCTTCATGCCGAACGCCTAGAAACCACAATGCTTATTGGCTTCAGAGGGCCTGGGTGTTGTGCGGCCAGACTCCAGACTGACGGAACACATCACCAAACCATCAGTCTCAACGAGGTCCTGGGGTCCCACATTGCAGCCAATGGCAGCATGGCCACCAAGGTCACCGCTCGGTGTCAAGCCTCCAGTACTGTTCTGCTCCCCATCAGAAAACCTGAGCCCCTCAGGCCCTACTGCCCACTAGTTTCAAGGTTCTTTATGCCGAGGCCCTGGCGAGTTCGACTTTGTTCTACAACTGCTGCGGTTGGCTCCAACTCACGAGGGGTCAAGACTCCAAGATCAAGCTGGGACATGAACGAATATACCGAGCAGCTATAGGCCTTTCCAGAGCCAACAATCCTGACCAACACGACGCCTATTTCGACATCATGTCACAGGCGTCCAAATCCCCACACCGCGTGATCATAGCCATCAACCGACTCCGGCTCGTAGCACGGACTTCTCGCCTCAGCGCCGCGCACATCCGCCTCAAAATTTGCATCAGCTTCACGGGTGGAGGGCGGGCGAATTTCAAAACGATGTTCTCGCCTTAGCGCCGCGCACACTCGCCTTAAAAAGTTGCACCCGTTTCAAAGATGAATGGCGCTTGTGTTTAAAGATGTTGCTCTCGCCTGAGCGCCGCGCGCAGTCATGTTGAAGTTCGCAACAGTTTCAAGGATTCGCATGATCGAAGTCCCAGGAATGGTGTTCAGGCAAGACTTAGGACTGTCAGGCTGCAACAGTCACGTTGGTTCGCGGTGTTGAAGTCCCAGGAATTCTCTTCTGGTACGGTTTAGGAACGTCAAGACGCAACAGTCGCGATGATTCGCGACGCTGTTCATCCTCCCCATCCATGCTGCCCCCACCCCCACCCCCCAGAGCTCCGAGAGACGGGGCGGTGCTCTGCTTCTTAACGAGGTTGAGCACCAGCTCTCGCGGCCGCTGCAGCACTATCCTGGCACAGGGGGGGGAGAAGGATGGGGACGGAGGACGAGGAGGAGGGAAGAGGGAAGGGTGAAAAGGGAGGAGGAGGCGGAGGAGGACCACCCACGCATTGGTAACAAAAAATGGTATGGTTCGCCGTGATCGGCCACTAGAGGCCATTACTGGGACCGGGTAAGTCAGAAAAGTCTCGGGACGAAAAAGACTCGGGACGAAAAAGACTAGACCCTGGGCGAAAGGTCGGGACCGTCAGAGACACCGCACCGGAAAAAAAAGCGGTGCACCGGACCTCTGGGGACGAGGAGGAGAGAGGGCAGGAGGGGGACCGCGTGGAGGAGGAAGGCGGGGCGAGCAAGCGGCGGAGGGCGCAGCGCCTCGAGCACCACCCCGAGGAAGCCTCACCCATGCACGGGCTTCCGCGGCCGCGGGGCCCACGTTTCGCTGCCTGTCCTTGCTCGGCCAGGGGTGCTCGGACGAGGAGGCGGAGGAGGAGGAGGAGGGAAGAGGAGGAGGAGGAGGAGGAGGAGGAGGAGGAGGGCGGAGGAGAAGGAAGAGGAGGAGGAGGAGGAGGAGGAGGGGGAGGAGAAGGGCTGTGCAGATGGTCTCGGGCGCCACCCCGTGCGAGCCCGCGGGGCCAGCCTCACCCCTCGTGCTCGAATCCACCATCCATGTCGCGTTCACCTTGGTCCTTGCGCTCCACGTCCTGCCGCCGATGCGCGTAGGGGGCCCTCGGGTGGCGTAAATGGTAGAAGTTTGAACAGGATCTCCAGCGCAACCCCGAGCGATCCCCATGCAAGCCTGGCCAGCCTGTCCGTCTGTGCACAGCCCTGTCCGGCCTCTCCCCGCTCTGTTCCCTCATCATCAGATCCTTGTCCTGATTATCTTGTATTGACTGTACTTCAGGTGGTGATGGCGGAGAGTCTCATGGTGAAAATGGTTGTCTGGGGCCCATCGTCTTGCATCCGTCATGCCCACGTGCCATCCTGTTTCCTTTCCCGCGTGCTTGCTACTGGGCTGTTGTTGTATCTGCTAGCCTACACTTCTGCTTAGAATCAAAATATGTTAGCAGAAATGTAACTTCACTGGAAGCGTGTTCTTAAACAGTAGTCCAGCTTCAGATTTACGCAAGTTCTGCGAAAAAAAGGAAGCTTGGAGGAAACTCCCAGGGTCCAGTCCAGATTATTGATTCTCTTAAGCAAAATCTGGAGCCCATGGATGTTGATGTTTTTTATTCAGATTCGGCTGGGTGTAGCACGCGCGGGGCACTGGCGGCCCGCCCTGACGCCTCACGCCCCTGTGCGCCTGCGGCTTGCCCACGAAAATGGCGAGGCGAAAGGAACGAGGTACGCCAGGAAAGGGTCCATTGGGAGCCTGCAGGGAGGGGCTGGAGCCTTCGCTTCGTGTTGCCCGTGTGTTGGCACCCCATCGCATATCGAATTAATGGGCCTTCTGACCCCTGCCTTTTTTTTTGTTCAGGTGTCGCACGCAAGCGCCACCCACCATTCGCAGCCAGTGTCGTCGGTTAGTCATGCGCCAGGGCTGTCCAGTCCCACTGCTTCCATCAAAAAAAATCACCGCCTCGTGATCCCATCGCTCCCGTGGACCGCCGTGTCTTCGTCGGGTCGGTCTCTGGTCGTGCAGAGGGGATATCCAGGTGGCGCTACGACCGCACCCAGCGGCCTGCGGGTAAGTTGGCAATTCGGCTGGCCCATCGCCATTTTGCTTGTTGCATTAAGGGAAAGAGGAGGAGGAGGAGGAGGAGGAGGACAAGGAGGAGGCGGAAGAGGGGGCAGGGAGAGAGGGGGAGAGGGAAGAGAGGGAGAGAATGGAGGCGGCGGGCAGTGGGCCTCCGTGATGCCCGAAAGCAGGGGCCCCGCGGTGTCAACGAGCGCGGCCAAGCTTCTTCCGCCTCCTCTATCCTCTTTCCTCCTCTTCATCTTCGTAAAACAAATAATGGTCTTCTCATTGGTGTTAGTAGTATTGTTCTAATTGTTCGTTGGATACTTCGTGCTAATCCCATTGCGAAAATGATTGTCGGCATCAGTATGTATAGTGCCACCTGCATTGACATTGTGTTTTGTATCATCCCCCGTGTTCGTACTAATACGATCCATACTATCAATGTGATGTGATAACTATGAATAGTAACCTTCATACTACCTATTAACAGCATAGTACGACGATGATTAGTATGATCACATGCTTATTAGCAGTCGTAACACTAGTTGTTTCTCAGATTTGCCGTATTCGCAATATCCAGAGTAGCCTCATAATTATTGATAGCGTTACTGTTGGTAATAGTATACTTAATCGTCTCTATGGGGAAAGTAATACTAAAGTTGCCAAGCCCATTTTCATTGATATTAACAGTATGCGTCGTCTGAATGTCATCCGTGTTACTGTTCGTAGCATTAAATGTCGTAACATCATTTGTCATATGAAGGTTCGCGTTTCCCTTATCCGTATTATGTGTGGTATTTATACTCATCACCATCATCATCATCATCATCATCATCAGCATCATCATCATCATTATCATCGTCATCATCATCATCATCATCATCATCATAATCATCATCATCATCATCAATATCATCGTTCCTCTTCCTTTTCTTCGACGTCCTCCTCGCCCTCATTTTCCTCGGTTTGCTCTTCATATTTGCGATTCGTTTCGTCAAACGATTCAAAGACCCGGGCTGCAGCCCGCGCCAGTCAGGACGCACGAGACTGTTGAGTGGCACGCGTGCCCACTTCAGCCACGGCAAGCAGCCACTCGGGCAAGAACGACCAATATCGAATCGTCAAATCGGATCGGAACGGGCGTCGAATCGGGCGGCACAGGCACAGAGTCGGAATAGGATCGAACCAGCTGCGCCAGGATGTACAACGGCGTCATGCGAACAGGTGGCCGCATCGGATCCTCGGCATATCGGAATCGAACCGGACGAAACCACCGGAAATCGATTTTGAACTGGACCGACTGGATCGAAATGGATTATGGTGGGGTGGGTAAACACAGAAGCGGGAGGTGCGATTGGTCGCTTCTCATACGGCCTGCGCCGAGCACGTTCGGAGCCGTCGAGCATCGTCAATGGAGACAAACAGAGTCAGACGGATCAGCATCGTCAGTTTGTATGTTTTGAGCAGAAGCATCGCTCACCCAACAAGCGCAAACGAGCGCGGGCGAACGCAAGCGAGCAAGCGGGCCGTGCAGCGCAAGCATGCAAACAAGAGGGCAAACAGATAGACCGTCGGGCAAGCACTCACGCATGCGAGCGCACGCGACAACGCGGACACTTTTTGCGTCACATCGCGGCAGAGGCGACCCGCACGCGCGCTCAGGCGGCCCCGGCAACGGCAAGCGCAAATTGACCGGCGGCAGGAGGACGAAAGACAGGCGGAAGCGGCCGCGGGGCGGGAGGAGGGGAGGGGAGGCCGCTCACATGGTCGGCGTCGCCGCGGAGCGGCCGGGGCGGACAGCCAGTGCTGCACCCCTGGCAGCGGGCGCGGAGCGGCGTCGCGGCCGCACGCAGGGGCTTAAGCAGGGGCTGCAGTGCACGGACAGCGCGGACACAAGCAAACACCCGAATGCAAACCAGAGAGCAGGCAGGCAGGCAGGCCAGCCCGGCGCCCTGGTGGCAGTCACGACTGCGCGCATCGCGCCCCGTGATGCGCGACGCGCGCTTGCGGTCGGGAATCTTTGCAAAGCGTGTCGCGGCGGCGGCCCCGGCGACACGCTATGCCCTGCGAGCTGAGAGCGCGTTGCTCCGCTCTGTGGGGCTTGAGGCTGGGGAAGGCTCGGGGACCTGACGCTCGGGGACCGGGACGTGGTTCACATGTCGCGCCGAGGCATGGTGGGCCAGAACTGGCGGCGCGGCACGCCAAACAACAGAGGCCTCGACGCGCGAAGCGCGGCTACTCTCGCGCACCCGCGGGCGGCCTGGAGCTCCGAGAACCTCGGCCAGAACGCGCTGCTGCAGGAGAGAACCGCTCACGCGGCCCGCCCCAGGAGCCGGAGGTCCTCCAAGACGTGCTCTCCTTCAGCGTCGAGATGATCTGGCTCGTGTCGCTTCTCACGCCGTTAACCTCGTGGATCCGGTCCCCGGCCTGAGCGGCTGCACATCGGTCGGAGAGCAATTCTCTCAGCGGTCGTCGTGGTAGAATCGCCGCGAACTGGTAGGCAACTGGGGCAGCCACGACTGGAAAGCATGCTCTACCGAAAAAAACAATTCCATTGATGGAAACCAAAAAAACAAATTATCTCAGGGGCCCACGATGGCAGAGGTGCGCTCAACCGCGCACAGTCCACCTGACAGCCCCCCGAATGCGGCCCCTGGGGAAAGACGCGAGCGGATCCGAGCCGTCCGTTTCCGGTATTATCTGGGCTGGGGGCCGAGTTGCAAGTTCGGGGCCAGAGGGCACAGCAAGGAACGAAATATCCATATCCGCACGAAAACACGTCCAAGCATCCCAAGGCGCTTGACACGCAACGTACCAGGACATCAACACACCCCCGCTCTTGCGCGAAACTGAAGTAGGCCAGGTCTGAAACTCAACCTGCTTCCTGCAGTGCGTCCACAACCTCTCTGGGGTCTTGCCCCAGGTCCCTGGGGGGCGGTGGATATGGATACTTTGCCGCCCTCGGGGGCGGGCAGATACCCACATCCACCCCTCCTCGAGGTCCTGGGGCACGACCCCGAGGCGGTGGACACAGGAGGAGCGGGCGGGGCTCCAGGGTGGAGCGCGTCAAGGCGCTCGGGCACGAGGAAGGGACGAACGAAGAGATGGAACAGGAGCGTTCGCCCCACAGAGGCGAGGGAGGGAAGGGGACAAGGGAGACTGACAAGGGAGAGGGCGAGGAGGAGGCGGAGGATTGCATGCCCATCTAGGGGGGAAAGGAAGAGAGAGAGAGAGAGAGGGGGAGGCTCGTCCAAACTCCCTAGGGGGAGTCCATCGAAGAAAGCCTTCTTGTCACCGCCGGTGGCAGGGGCTGGCCACCCGCGGGCCTTCGACAGGACCTCCCTTGAAGAGAAGGTCGCCATCCTCTTCGGGATCGATCGCCGGACGGAAACCCTCTCCCAGCTCTCGGGCTTCGCCCTCGCTGAAGCCAGAAGCCTGGGGACAATCAGACAAGTTCAGACCAGAGGCGGCACCCGACACACCAGGGGCCCTCGGCCCCTGGGCCCTCAGAGGCCGCGGGCCCAACATCGCGTCCAGGAAACCAGGGCCGAGAATCCCGGCAGAGACGGGCCCTGGAAGGATCGGCGTGCCCAGCTTTCGAGCCCTGCAGGAGGGGGCGCTCGGGACAGAACAGCATGCTCGAACTCTTCTTCCCTGCTCCGACCCGAGCTTGGGCCGGGCCTGGGCACGGGCGCACATCCGAGAGACCTCTGGCCCCCGTGGAGGCAGTGGCGCAGCCTCGACAGGTCGTGCAGCGAAGCCGAGGAGGGCGCTCTCCTCCTGTGGCGCGGGACACTCCACGGGGCAGTGACCCCCCCCCCCGCCCTCCAGGGCGCGGCACCCTCTGGGAACTCTCCCAGCGAGGCAGCAGCTGCAGGAGAGCCCTCGGGGGGGGGGGGGGGGACAGTTGCAGGAGAGCTCTCCGGGGGGAGTGGGGAGCTCGGGATCCACTCGATGGGGCCCCCGACGCGCCGAGACGGCGAGCTGCCTCGATGTCCGACTCGTGGCACGGCGGCAGCTCGAGGCAGACCTTCGTGAGGCCCTGAGCTCCTGCATTATCGTAGGCAGCGTGCTAGCTGTAGTGAAGCTCCGAGCGAGTGATGTACTTAAGCAGCTCACGGGCAAGGGACAAGCAGGCTTTCGCCAAGAGGGCCCCCGCCAGGGCATGCGTCGCGAGACTAGCCCTTAGCTTCGCCTAGCGATCGTCCCCATGGTTCCTTGTCCTCTCGAACTCGGACAGACGACCCTCATGAACGTCGGTCATAGAAGCATAGGCGGGAACTTTGCTGCAAACAGCACTATCCAGAGCTCCAAAGGCAAAGACCTGCCTCCAGAGGTGAGCCTTCGTGTTGGCGGGGCTACAAGCGTGTAGAGGACTGCAGCAACACTGAAACGTCCCCTTGCAGCCCGTGTATCACGCAAAAGAACCTGCACACTGCTTAGACACTATGAAAGCAGCATGGTCTCCGCCATCACGAGCCACCTGATCAGGGCAAGTGGCTGGGGGCACCGAACCGTACGATTCAGCCATGCGCACTCGGTTCTATAATGACCCACCCACCCACCCACTCTGAACGAGGGGAAGAGACCATCGACCCCCGAGCCGTCGCAGAAAACACTAGCATTAGCCAACCTGACTGGCCCTGCGGAGCCTCCGTCAACCCGAAACTCCGTGGAGGGGTCCCAAGGCTTCCTGGACGGAGGCTGGCAAGGTTCAAGCAAAATCCATCGGGAAACCTTTCCTGAAGCTCGACACCGCACCGTGAAAGTCTCGCGACTGGGCCTTCGAGAACCTGCGGAAGATTACCCATCGGTCGGAAGAAGTGGGTAAAAACATGAAGTAGAAAGGCGTTGAAAATAGATTGGGTTCCGCCCGCCCCCTAAGAGGGATGGAAAAGGTGAAGCCACTCGATCATTGAAGTAGGAAAGCGCTTAAAGTAGATTGGAATCTGGGATTCCAAAAATACTTACTTTCAACGACCGATGGGTATCCCTGCGCCACGCTTGACGCGATGGGCAGCAAAATGACGAAGCAAGGGTGCGCCTAGCGCGCCGCAAGCTAGACACTCGGACCCAAGCTCAGGATCGTGTTGGTGCAGCCTGCGTTCGCACCCATGGGAGCCCATGAGGAGCCCTCGCAACGTGCGCTGCTCGCGAAAATCACAGACCACCCCGATCCCAAACACACCGTCCTCATTCTCAACAACTTTCAAATGCAGCAGCTCTTTCAAAGGCATCCAGAAAAGATCTCCTCGCCACGCTTGGGCAGGGTCTATCTTAGCAAAGGCCAGGGCATCAGACGCCCTGCGCGCGGCAAAGCGAGCCCTCCTGGTAACATACGCAAGCGACACCTTCCGAAGGTCCCTAGACTGCCCCGAGGACTCCCGCAGAGAGAAAAACCCGAAGAAAGTAAGCCCGATCCCGGAACACGTCAAA